CCCGTCGTTGCTGGGGTTGCGGCAAGCTGCGATGAAGGTCGTGTACCTCCTCGCTCTGCAAGTCGCGAGCGATGGCGGCGCCGAGCTAGATCCAAGCACCAACCCAAAAATCAACTCGCTCAGTCCGTCGCATTTCCAACGCCAACTGTCTGGTCCCCAAACCCAGTTTGACATGTTGTACTCGGAGATGTAGCTCCAGTTTGTCGGTATGCCAAGCGTTTCTGTGCACACCCAACTATCTGTCACTGTTTGTGACCACGGCATGCTTTGTCACTGTTTGTGACCACGGCATGCTTTGGCCAAGTGGAGCCGCAGACCCGCGCGATGCACCTACGGGACGAGATCGGGCGACTGCTCTTGTACCACGAATTGTACGTGGCGTTGCAATCCAAAACCACCACCTTCCCCATCTTTGCTGCATCATCATCCCCAGTCGTCGTTTCCAAAACGAGCGACGAGAAAGTTGTGGACGTGCGCATTCAATTGATGATTGCCATGGGTTTTCCTCAACAATGGTGCAAGCGTGCGCTGGAGTCCCGACAAGACGTCTGAATCTTGATCAACGGGGAGTTGCTGCAAGACACTTCACCAGCACCGCCATTCCCAACGTCCAACTGAGTCCGACGTCGTCGTTGTGGACGACCCGCCGCCGTCTCCATCCCTTGAGTGGAGTACCGCCACTTCACTGGATGTTGCCGGACCGTACGCCACGTATTGGAAGCTGGAACATGGCCGCGTTTACCATCCAAAGTCGACGGGTACGGCGTTGGTCCACGCGCCTTCGCCACTGCAGTTTTTCCGAAGGCGCGTGGTTTAACCTTGGCCAGTCGCCGTTCCAATATCAACCGCCGCGGGGGTATATCAGCGTGCTAGAGTCGGTGAATGCGACGTCGTCGAAGGAAGGAGTGCCGTTGCCTCGAGTCGACGTGTACTCGCACCGCCACAACTGACCTTCGCGTGACCGAGACCCTGTCCTGCCCGTTCCCTACCCAACGCAGCCTTTCGTACGGGG